ATTTTAGTCCTCAAATTTCAAAAACGACTTTGTGCTTTGTGCAAAACAGGGATCATTTGCTTTATCGAAACAACTTGAAGCCATTGAAGCAACAAGAATCACCAACAAGAATGCTTTTTGTTAAAAACAGATAGTTTTCATGTTTTTAAATCATATATCATCAAATAGGCGATTTAAAACACAAAATGATTGTTAATAAAAAATCAGCGAGTTTCGCAGAGACGATAGTAGCCTTTGCTGAAAAATTTTGAATAAAATAAAACAAGAACTGTTTAAATTTGCCTGAAGCTCAAATACTCATATTTATGCGTATTCTTCTCCATTTCTTTATAGTAATTGTCTCGAATTTCAAGCAAATCGACTCGATCGCTTGGATCTCCTTTCCAGCATCCATTCATTATTTCTTTTCTGTAAAATACTTGTTAAAATACTTGTTTTTCTTGTGAAAATAAATGTAAAATTTTTCTTGTAAAATCACATCATTTTAGGAGCTTCCGACGGGATTTCCAAGCGATTTCCATCTTTTAAAAATTGTAAAACTTCTCCATTATCCAGTGAACAAAAAGGCGTTTTGCCAAAAGAATACATTTCGTAGAGAACAATTCCGAAAGACCAACTGAAATGAATTTATTTTGCTAGGGCTTGTTTTGGAGAGATTTCTGATCAATTGAAGACCAGACCAGGAACTTCACACAAAAAAATCAGAGCTCATGAAGGCGCTTGAGGCGCTTGAGGAGGGATGGACTAAAATCCCAAGGCAAATCATTGACAATTTGATCTTCGATGCCAAATCATTGACAATTTGATCAATTCGATGGCAAATTGATCGATTCGATGCCAAATCATTGACAATTTGATCGTTTCGATGCCAAATCGTTGACAATTTGATCAATTCGATGGCAAATTGATCGATTCGATGCTAAATCATTGACAATTTGATCGATTCGATGCCAAATCATTGACAATTTGATCGATTCGATGCCAAATCGTTGCGCAGCTATTATTAAAGCAAAGGGATACGCCACAAAATATAAATTATACGAGAAATATGGAAATATTTTGATGTATAATAATTATTATATAAACAAAGCTTAAAAGCTCAACAATAGCTCAACAATTGCTAGTTTTTCGCCGAAAACCACCGTTAAACAAAATATAAATATAACAGCTATTATTAAAGCAAAGGGATACGCCACAAAATACTGAATTTTGCCGGTTAATTGTTAAATAGAAGTCAAAAGAAAAGAAAATGAAAGCCATTTGTTATCTCTACCGTCTTCTGGCTTTGCAAACAGCAAAAACTAGAGGGAAATGTGCAACGAAATCCAAAAAGTGATCCACCGAAGACAACAATCAGACAAGATCATTCGTTGATCAGGATCTTCTCAAAGGACCCAAACAGGACGAGTACCGACGGTGCCAAGATGCTTCAATCTCGATTTGGACTTAAAGTGAATTTGGACCACTCAAATGATTCGAAATCGGCTCTAATTGGCCCGATTGTTTGCTCGACGACCAGCACGAAAGCCTCTAATAGTTTTGAGACATCGGCGATTAAGATTAGCCTTCGCAAAGAGGTACCACCATTGGACGGTCGACGATTGGAAGAAGGTATTATGGAGTGACGAGAAGAAGATCAATGTGTTCAATCCGGATGGTTATCAAATGATTCGTCGCCCCGTGCGCTATAAACTCAAGTATCTTCGTCCTACAGCAATGATGGCGGAATCATGGTATAGGGTTTTCTCATGTTTTTCTAGAATCTACCTAATTCTGTCTATGTTTCGATTGCATTTCGTCGTCCGACGCTAGTGCGCTAGTTTTGATAGACGGAATTATGGATACTCAGAAGTACAAGGATATAATGGAGACTCAAATGCTACCTCATGCATGAGCCAAAATGGGACAGGGGTGGTTATTCATGCAAGATTCGTCGACCCGTTGGAATGCGCTATAAACACAAGTATCTTCATGCTACAGCAATGATGGCGGAATCATGATTTAGGGTTTGCTCACGTTTTCCTAGAATCTACCTAATTTTGTCTATGTTTAGTTGCATTGGGTCGTCCGATGCTAGTCCGCTAGTCTTGATAGACGGAATTATGGATACTCACAAGTACAAGGACATAATGGAGACTCAAATGCTACCTCATGCATGAGCCAAAATGGGACAGGGGTGGTTATTCATGCAAGATTCGTCGACCCGTTGGAATGCGCTATAAACTCTTGCTTGCTCGACGATCTTGCTGACAAATATCAAATATCTTGCTGGAGTGACGAGACGAAGATCAATATATTCAACCCGGATGGTGGTCAAATGATTCGTCGGCCTGTTGGAATACGCTATAAACTCAAATATCTTCGTGCTATAGTCTAATTCAATGGTAGAGAAATCATGGTTTGGGATTGGTAAATGTTTTTTGGATTTTGCTTAATTCTGTCTGTTGAGGTTGCATGTCATCGTCGGACGCTGGTCCTGGCAAAAACTGTAAAACTTTTCCATTATTAACGTTTTGCCAAAAGAATACATTTCGTAGAGTCGTAGAGAAGAATTCCGAAAGACTAACTAATTTAAAATTTAAGTAAATTTAAGATTTAAGTAAAATTAAGATTTTATTAGATTCTTGTTTTGAAGAAATTTCGATTGAAGATTGAATTCTATTGAAGATAGCAATTTTGAAAGTTAATCTGTAGAGCCAAATTTGTTTTAGCCAAATTTGTAGAGCCAAATCTGTAGAGCCAAATCTGTAGAGCCAAATCTGTTTGCCAAGTTTGTTTTAGCCAAATCTGTTTGCCAAAATTGTTTGCCAAATTTGTTTTAGCCAAATTTTAAAAACCAATACTTTCTTTTTCAATAAAAGACAACTCACACGTCACTTTTACTTGAAAAAAGACAAAATTCAATCGCTTCCGGGGCCATCCATTTTATCGGGAATTTTCCACCACGTGAACGATAGATTTGCTCTTTGTTCACGCGACAGAGACCAAAATCGGAGAGCTAAATCGGAGAGCTTCACGTTTGTTTGCAAAAGTCGAAAACTACTTTCGCTGTCTTATTTTGAGTCAACAAAACATTTCTCGCCGCAACGTCACGATGAATGATTTTCTTTTCGCTGAGAAACACCTGGAAAGTTTAATCATGCAAGTGTTGAATGATGAATGATTATCACTATAAAATTTGTGTGGGTGACTTTTTGATTGGATGCCCGGAAATACCCTCATTCGTTAGCGGCTGAATTTCGTAAACGGCTACGACATATGGATTGGATTAGATTGGGTTGTATCTTTTTCCAGCCATTCCATTCCAGTTCAATATCTTCTATCTGACTAGCTAACACGGGGGGGAGATATCAACGATCAACTCAGATCAGATATCAACGATCAACTCCAACTTACTAATGCATCACAGATTTGCCATGCAATTGGAACAAGATCCTCGAATGTGATATTTGAATTCTAAAAGAATAGTTATAAAAAAACCCTGGATCAAACTTGTTCATTGATCTTCCGCAAAAGATTCAACAGATCGCCGAATTCACAAATTCCCGTTAGAATTAACGGAAAGATCGGATTCGTCGAGCAGGCGATAAGTGAAAGAATGTGCGGATGAAATTCGAGATTTTTCATGAATTCAATCTCGTCCAGAAACTCTTCTCTAAAAGAGTTTGTTGACCGATCGTTTGCTCCTCTAAAAGAGCTTCAAACCGATCGTTTGCTTTCGCGTTCTCGTGCAACATCTTCACCGCAACATAATTCCCGTCATTTGATAGGAAATAAGAAAACTTAAAAGTGAACTTAAAAATGAACACACATTTATTTCAGTTACTAGATTGATGAAAAAGAAATTTCGGGTTTTTACAAATATTCAATTAAATCAAAATTTATTTTACATTTTTACATTTTTTTTAAAATTTACAACATCACTTTGTGCCCATGATAATCCGGCTTTGGAGTTGGAATTGGCACTTGGCCCTTGCTTAGCCAATGTCTTTTTCGAGAAGTGTTATCGTAATGAATCCACTTCTCCTCCATCGTTAAGCTATCCTTAAAAATAGCGTCTTTTCGACTTGAGAAGCTGGCTGATCGAAACGCATGCTTCCAGATTCTCGGTGCTCAATTCATGTGAAACCCATCGTCCATTACGATTGATCTTTCCGATTCTTTCCAAATGGCGGACAATCGTTGATTGATCACATTGGAGATGTTTGGCAAGCTCTCATATTGTTTGCATTGGATTGGCTTCAATAAGTTGTTCCAACTCATTAATATCGATCACTGCCGAGCGATGTTCATGTTTGTCGTCTTCAAGAGATTCAATACCTTTTTGGAAACGGGTAAACCAGAGCTGGCAAGATCTTTCGGTCAAAATTTGTTCTCTAAAAGCGAAACAGAGATCACGATGTGATTCGGCAGCGTTTTTGCCCAAAATCATAGAGAAGACACCCAAAATCATCTTGAAATCGTAGAGAAGACACGCGGGCACAACGTACTTTTGATTCACCATGATCTAAAACAAATCTTAATTAAAAAATGAAAGTTCTGACTTAGAAAAAGTGTAAAAATAAAGTAAAGAGTACAAATATACAAAAAAAATGAAATAAGATTTGCAGATTTAAAAAAATAGAACATTTTATATAAACCGAAATTTCTTTTGCATAAACCTACCGTAAACACTGTAATAGTACCCCACCGCCCTCGTACAGTCGCGTAGTGCAAAAAGTTTTTTAGTATTTCATTGTTTTCAAAGCGCCCGTACTTTCAAAAAATGCGTCTTTGGTATCAAAAAATAGCGGAGCATCACGTAGTCTAGCTTTGAACGAGGCTTTCTCGACACTGGTTTATGCTACAATGCTCGTATAGGTATCAAAAAATAGCTGAAATTCAGGGCTATTTTTTGATACCAAAGACGCATATTTTGAAAGTACGGGCGCTTTGAAAAAAATGAAACTTGAATGAATGAAATGAAAAAAAATGAAATACTAAAAAACTTTTGCGCCTACGCGACTGTACGAGGGCGGTGGGGTACTATTACAGTATTTACGGTATGTAGTTTTTAAGTCTTAAATCAATTCGGGAAATACTGAACGGGAAATCCGCTCAACATTGTCTTTTTTTTGTTCTTTTTTTGTTCTTT